ACTTCAAAACAGAACAAACCTAAATTTAAGGTTGAGATTCCTGCAAGCCAGTATGCTTTCCTTGTTACCGAAGAACACAATCACTCTTTGACCTAGTCAGTCTTTGCGCCTTCAGTGATTTTTGATGAATTTTGGAAAAAAGAAGCAAGCTATTTTTTCTACCGTTGATCATATTTTCACAATAAAGTAAGTGGCTAAATGGTGCAGCGACTGCAAAATTCCCTTATGTTTCGTGTTTTGCCGATGTTGGTTGGATGGTTTGGATACTGTAATTCAAGAGCCGGTGGATCGTGCTTTTTGCTTTCTTCTGTGTATGAGAGCTGTTTAGATAATCTGGAACTGTGCTTAGAATGATGGTTTATGAATCACTAGCTGTATTTTGGTTAATGATTGCAAGTTGCAGTGGTATTTCGGACTCGACCGACTGGCAGGAAGACCATGTAAGTGACTTCCCTATTTGTTGTTTTTTTCTTCGTTTAGCCTTCTCACGAACCATCAATAGATCCTCGAGTGCATTCTCACTCTGAGGACAAGACTGGCACTTTTCTGCACTAAACAGCTTTTGCAAACTTGTTCTATCGTTCAAATGCTAAGCACAGCTTAACAATGTGTCACTCACAAATTGAAAGAAACTGTCTGAATGTTGTTGTTTAAAATCGATAAACTGCAAAAACAACTGTCATTGTTATGAAACTAACCACTGAATACCAGCTGATCAGGAATGTTTCCAAAAAAAACCCAAATTTGATTCGATTCTCCGTATGCATGGGCCGAAATACAGCACTGTTTGAAAGATGGATTTAGGCAGTTGTCCTCCACGTTTTAAGCTTCTAGGATTTCAGATGCCTAAGATTTAGCCCCGATTGGGCTTGAATTTTGGCATGAAATCACAGATAATATTGCTCGGAAGTTCAAAGTTGACATTAAACTTCAAATCATGATTTTCTCTTCACATCCATTAAGTCAAACTCTTGCAATCTCGACTCCGTAAGTTTCATTATTTGCATAAAATTTTGACAAGAGTTTTACGGAATTCAAAAGAGAAAAGGAGGAAAGAGTTGAACAGTTACTTTATTTTAATGGTATTTCCAATGACCACAAGCCGATTTTGCGACCAATTCGCCTCTCTTGTTTTCGTCACACCCTAACTGACATAAGTTATTAGAAAGGGGGATTGATAGTGACAGGATTCGGCACAATGAGGCTTCTTCTTGATTAGAGCAAAAACACATAAAGAGCACTGTTTTGTCAATTCTTTGGAATGAAAACAGTACATGTTGTAAATTTGAATGCGAATCCAGTCAGTCTGTTTAGGTTCGAGACAAACGCTTCTTGGACGGTTCCACTTTCCCCTATTGGCCAAAATTACAACGTAATCGGCAGATCATATATGAATCAGCAGCAGTACCACGGAAAACGCTTAGCGGATTCGTCGACCCAAGCCGACCGCTGTTTATGCGACCTGCACGAT